AGAGAGTGAGGCTGCTTTTAGGGGGAGCAACTTTTTTTTTACCCAAAACTATGAGAATTTCTCCTCAGAGCAATTTTTTATAAATTTTCAAATAAAAGTGTTATGTACAGCCGAAAATAAAAGGATGAAAGAATAAAAGAATAGAAATGGTCCTCTAACCGTTTAAGCATTCGACTAGGTATGGCTAGTGCTCAAATTTACTCCACTAAATGTTTCTGAGAGATCGGCTAGAGATGCTCTGATCAAGTCAAATGTTATCGGCCCATGTGGTTGTTAACCCTCACTCTGTTGCAATATCATTTGTCCCCTATTATCATATATTTATCTCCTATTTATGTATGCAGAAGGTTGTGATGATTCCATTGCTATATTTTGTTAGGCTATCAGTGTTCTATTTAACAAATAATTTCGTAGCTTGCAACCTGTCTAACAACTTATCCTCTAAGATTGTATAGACTAGAGTATTTAGGAGCACAACATGGGTGAGCCATCTTGTATGGCCATCATGGATGAGTGCCGTTATTTTGGACTCTGGGGGCTTTTGGAACTTATAATTAATAAGTTCAATCAGAATATGTAGATCCCTAACATATGTAGAACTTATAATTAATTGTTATGTTTCTTTTTTATTATGGGTTCTAGGTATCAGATAGAGTATGTAGGTAGCTTTGATAGTTGCTGTATTTCTTGGCGCTGGTGTCTCCGATCAAGCAGGGTTCCTGCGGAAGAAGCATATATTGCGTCAAAGATTTTTCCTAGAGATGTCTAGCATTTCACTGTTACTATTATCTGTAGACACTACCAAGCTACCCCGAGTCAACCCTACAATGCTATAAATTCTGCTGTCAGGTCATACCGGCGGGAGTAAACTCTCCTTCGTAAGTACTTACTCCTGTAAGAATTGAAATAAAGACGCAATAGGGTTATAAAAGCGGAAGCAGCTCCCCTAACGTACGTTACACGCCGGTTGGGGACACTAGCATGTGGGGTTGATTCATAGCGAGCCCACCTGTCAATCGCCGAACGGCACCCTGCCGCACGGCAGAGGATCCGCGTCCTATAAAAGCTTGCTCGTGTTTGGGTGAGATGTCATTTCACATCAAAGAGGAATTCAATGGACTGCAGGATTTCATTGAAGAGCAAAGGGCATTGAGTATACATGGGTACGGCCAAGCCGGCCTCGCCGCTCGGTTAAAGACACCATTTACCTAAAGTGGCGCATCTCCTATTTAAGATCCATTTACTCACATAACCAGTGGCACATTGATGGACTATACTTATTTTCGCTGGATGGAACCCTTCATGCAGCTGCTGCGCATCAGTAAAGGGCGTTCAAGATGTTGACACTGCGCGCACAGCTATTGCCAATAGCATGGTGTTGGCAGCGCGCCATGAATACACCCGGAGGGCAACCACGAAAATAAGAGTAGATTTGACCTCACAAATGTGTCTAGCTTCCCAACGTATAGATCTCCCCTGTTTTCCTGTATTACTAAGGTTGGTATAAGCTCATAAAATATGATTTTGGAGTATGTATTTTTCAAAAACCTTAATTAACTTTATGATGTGCAAGATCACAAGAAGAGAGTAGGGTTGGAGGGATGTGAAAGGAAGTGAAGAGAGGAAGAGGACGGAGGGTCCTTGCTGTTGCATTAATAGCAAGTAAAGAGAAGCATTGACCTCTCCTCCTATGCTTGGAACCCCCCCTATATAAAGACCTCTGGACCTTTCAAAGTCCTCAACCAAATACACATCGCAGCAGTTGCTCAACTCTTTCTCTCCTCTTCACGGGATTCAGGTAGCAACTCTGCTTTTCCTTGTGTTCTTCCCCATGTATGTTATGCAGCAGTACTTCTATATATTCTGCTCGTCTGAAGAAGAAATATATTCTGATATAATTAATCCTGTTTCGTTATCTAATATGCATATTCTTGTTTGTGCAGTGTGATTGTCTGTGAGTCATGGACCGCAGCAATGGCAACGGCGGCGCCGGCGTGAGGAACGGGGCGAGGCTGGAGCTGCAGCTGAACCTGTCGCCGCCGGTGGGGATGGAGGTGGACGGCCATAACGACAGCGGGTCGTCGTCGCCAAGCTCCTGCGTGTCGTCAGACGGCAGCCCTGGAAGCAAGTCGCCGATGGTGATCGGGGCCTGCACCCGGTGCCTCATGTACTGCATGGTGGCCAAGAAGGATTACCCCACCTGCATCAACTGCAAGCAGCCCTGCCTCGTGGACCTGCTGCAGAACGGCGGCGCCGGCGCGGGCGCCTCCGGGGACGGCGACAAGAAGCGCGGCAAGCGCAAGTGAAGAAATATCAACGGTGCGGGCGCGTGCCCGTCCAGTGGATGCTCACACGGATGGTTAGCTCGATCAGGCGATGCGCGAATTTTGAGGCTGGAGGAGTGAGTGACCGCCGTCGGATCATCCACTGGACAGGGTTGGATCTCTGAGTAGCAGGCTACTTAGCTTAAGTAGTTACTTTCCTTTGTGTTGCTGGGTTGCAGTGGGTTGGTCAGTTTAATTAGCGCTATGGCTAGTTTCCGATTGGTGTTGTAGTAGCAGTGGTCTTCTAAGTTTGTAATCCCCTGTTTGCTGAAGAAATGCAAGGCCTAACTAACGGTATGCAGCAGCTAAGCTAGCGATGGTTGTCTCCAATAATTTGTACTAGTCAACTGTGTTTTCACCATGTTTTTCTGGTTTTTCTTCAAGGACTTCATTAGGTTTTTCTCTCTGAGGGATTCGGAGGGAAATTAGGTTGGTCACCAACTTCGCCTGCCTTTCTATCCGAGTTCTTCCCTCTTGATGCTTTTGAACGACTCCTAAATTTCACAAAATCCTTTTTTTCTTATTTGAAATCCAAATCAAAATGCCTCAACTTGATAAATTAACTTATTTCTCACAATTCTTCTGGTTAGGTTTTTCTCTATGAGGGATTCAAGGGCTTAATTAGGTAGGGCGCAGGCGGCCCGCTTATCCCGCGAAAAGCATCAATTACTAGCTTTGTAGTACTAGTACTACTGTGATACTCCCTCCATTCCACAATGTAGTGCCTATAGATTTTTGTGAAAGTCAAACTTTGCCAACTTTGACCAAGTGTATAGAGAAAACTATCTACATCTACAATATCAAACATATACATCCTCAAAATATAACTCGCGATGTATCCAGTGATGTCCATTTGGTATTCTAGATGTACCTACTTTTCTTCAAAGTTTGTAATGTTTGACTTTTGCAAAAATCTATAGGCACTATATTATGGAACGGAGGGAGTATTGTCCGGGAAACCCGGCCCCGCTTTGCATCCTCAGGTGCGAGGGTTCGAACCAAGTATTTGAGCCATGCATGCATACGATTTGCATATCTCTGTTCTCGTCGAGTAATACTTCAGGTGTGGTGAGCACTATCCGATCGAGAACCTACGGCCCAGATCGACTGTCGGGTGAGGCATGGACTGTCGATACACAGCAGCATCGATCTCTGCAAAGTACAGGTACCGGTCAGGGGCTGACACACACACTGGAAGGAAGTAAAAGCTGGATAAACAAGGGCATCATTACACAATTATATAGCACGACGGGCAAATCTCTGGGCGCGGGAGCTGCACTTCAAGTGCGTCTGCACGGAGGTCGGATGCATGTCTCGGAAGAAATAGATCCGCTGCCTTACACAAGCAACCCATGGCTTTCTCAAGGGCAAGGCACGGCTTGATCAAAAGGGAGATTAAGGAACAAAACTATGATATCCTAAAACCTCTCGATCGGGCAGAAGGAAAATTCCTTGAGATCTTTTTGGTGTTGCTGTCGTTGAAGGTATGCTAGTTCGGTTGAAGACTTGAATTCGGCACGTAGAGATAGTAACAAATCCACATGAATGCATGCAGTTGGGGCATTGCATGCAGTAATGGCATGCGGTGCAATGCAATGCAATTCAAGTGCAACTTAGCTCCTCGTTGCGTCACGCAGGGCCGGATTGATTTCGCCAAGAGACGTCTGTAGTAGTACGTAGTAGCTAAGGAGGAGGAGGAGTACGTGCTCCTTGGCTAGCTCGATTTATTTCAGCATCTCTAGCTGGGCTGCACCCCATTGTCTGCGATTTCTGCGTGCTTACAAATGCACCATAATGTCCCAGTGGACGGACACATACATGCATCGTCTGCATGCATATGCACTTCCTCCCCCCGCATGCGCGCAACTAGCTACTACTATAGCCATATAGCCATCTGCGGTTTAAAGCCACCTGCAGAGTTATTGTGTAATGGTTTCTCCTCTGCTGCCTGCCCCTCACCAGAGACATCTCCATAATTAATCACACCACTGTAAAAGACTGCCCAATCAATGGTATACGTATAGCAGTCTGCACGTACCGCAAAAAATATATGTAGGGGCAGATTCAAGAATTTTTCACCCGCAAAGAAAAAATCATGAAATGTTCATAAATTTAAAATATATGTAGCTATTCTAGAAAAATGTTCAAGTATTAAAAAATGTTCACGAATACATAATGTGTTCAAGTATTCTAGAAAAAAAATTAAGTATTCAAAAACAATGTTCGCGGAATCAAACTATGTTCAAGGTTTCCAGGAAAATTCAAGTATTCAAAACAAACGTTTGTGAATTTGAGTATTGTTCACAAATTCGGAAATGTTCTCGCATTAAAAATTTGTTCACAGCAAATTCAAAAAATGTTCACACATTCGGAAGAGAGAGCAAAGCTGCCCTCCCCCCTCCATCCCCCACCGCGCGCGCGCCCCGATAGGGCGACGTGGGGAGCGATCTCGTGTCGTCGCCCCTTAGCCTTCCCCGCTTCCCTTTCCTTCCTCGCCGCCGCCAGAGGCTGGCGTCGGGCAAGCCTAGGACATAGCCAAGGAAGGTGTCGGCGGGGAGCTTGTTGTCGCGCTCGGTGGTGGGCGCTTGGATTGGATCCGCCTGATCCGTCTGGCCGTTCGAAGGAGCTCCGTGTGGGCCAGCGGGTGCGGTGATCCAGGGTGAGCTCCTGGATCGGATCTGTTCGTTTCCTCCGATCCTTCCGACTGTTCGGAACACTGCGGGTGCCTGGCAGTCGGGTTCGCCCGCAGGTGCCTGGTCTGGATCGGGACGCCTAGTAGCCTTCATCTCGTGCTCGGTATGCCTCTCCGTGTGGATCTGGATCACAATACTTGCTGATCCTCGATGCGGTTTAAGCTGGAGGTGGGGGTTCAGATTGGCAAAAATCCCTAGTCGGCCTTTCGGTCGCGGCAGCGGCTGACACCCTAGGGCACTGTTTTCTTGTCTATGGAGACGCTCGTCAGATCTGCTTCTACTTCCACCATGTCGTTTGTGTCTCGGATGAAAGCCCTAACCGCGGTGGGCGACGACGGCGCCTTCGGCGTCGCTCCACCACAACATTTTTTAAGGTGTCGGCTTGGGAGCTGTGTGGATGGTGGACACTGTTGGGTTGGCGTTGGCGGTGATCTAGATTAGGAGATGGTGTGGCATCATATCTACCGCGTCGACGACGGCAGATCTTGGCGGCATGGTGCAATGGAGTCTTGATGACGCATGCATCTTGATGGACGAGCGCAAGGCAGTGGTGCTCTCTGGCATCGTGGTGACATGGACGGCAGTACGACTAGCAAGGTGAATGCGTTGACCGCTCCTGGAGATGGGATGGTGGAAGATGGCGGCGGCGGATCCAGAGCATCCGCATGCCGTGCGCAGTGCGGGTCGGCCAGACTGGGTGGTGCTCTCGGCCCGATGCGGGGCAAATGCGTGAGGCTACCGGATTAGATAGTGCGCGTTCATGCGATTCGGGCACATTATCAAGAGTGTATATGTTGTGACTTTTGTTCGCCGGATGAGTGGCTTTGCATTGATCCATGTATTCATGTTATCAGACTGTTAAATAATAATACAGATGGTTGTATGCATCAATTGATGCAGAGACCGGGGTCATTCTTGTTTTCTCTTAAATCGCAGATTCAGAAAATGTATTCAAAATATGTTAATGGTGAAATCAAATATTGTCCGATGTAAAAAATGTTTGTGAATACAAAACAAGTTCGTGGCAAATTAAAAAATATTTAGGAATTCAAAATATGTTCAAGTATTCTAGAAACAATTCAATAAAGAGTTCTCGAATTCAAATATTGTTCACGAGTTAAAAATGTTTAAGAATTGGAAATATGTTCACAAATTCAAAAAATATTCATGAATTCAATAGATGTTGGCCGTAAATTCAAAAGTTGCTCATGAATTCAATAAATGTTCGCGGAGAATTCAAAATATACTCACAAATCCAGAAATGTGCACATATTCAATAAATGTCTGTAAATTGAAAAAAAAAATCACATTTCAGTTATCAATTAGGCTAATGGGACGACACATGACGAGGACAAAACCACGCTTGAAATAGGCCGCCGGCACAAGACGGAGCTGGCCGCGTGTGCCAGCATCACGTAGAGGATGTTACGCATGCCGTGTTGGCCAGAGCAGTGCATCATTAAATCTATCTCAGGCCCACTAATGTATATTGTATCGGATCTACAGGAAATGGACGGCAAAAGATACCGTGAGCATGCGAGGACGAGCGCTCTTTTGTATTTTCGTGCCCAATCAATGGTATGCGTATAGCAGTCTGCAGACGTACCGCAGAAATCCGTCACAAGGGTAGAGCATCTCCGACAGATTTGCCAAATTTTGTTACCTACAATATATTGCTGGAAATATTAGCAACCTTTTGGACTATCTAATCCACGAGTAGATAATTTTTAGAGAAAAGGTATGCGCCCGACTTTATAGATAAAGCCACCAAGCAGAGTTTCAACCATCACAACCAACCAACCAAACAAGAAAACAAAAGTACGCCCCAAACGAGGGAACACCCGAAGTTAAGGTACATGGCTCCCAGGCTAGTACATGGCACGCATGCCAGAGAGATAGATACGACCTAGCCAGCAACTAGTCGAAGCAACGCAGAAAATAGCTAAGCAACATGCTCCTGTCTGGAAAGGGAAGACGCTGAGGCCCGTACTTTAGAAATCATCAGATTAAGAGCATCACGGTCCTCCGTCTTAGTCAATGATCTCCACTGCTGCAAGAGAATACAAGATTTAAATAAGCAGTCAGCAGGCTTAGCAGGAAAAACATGCTCGATGGTAAACTTGTTCCTAGTCGTCCACAAGGCAGAACAAATCGCTCCAAGTCCTACCCAAGAGACCCTTTTAGTAACACCATTCAACGATTGGGCAAGGACCCGGAGCTCAGAGAAAGACGAGGGGTCCCATGTGACCTGTAGCCACGATCTAACACAACTACAAACCAGCTTGGCCA